AACTACCGGTGATTCTTCTTTGTTTCCAACTTTTGCATTCCAGTCACCAGTGATAATTAACACATCCTGATTGCATGTTCAGTCAATTTCAGACTGCAGAAGTTGATAAAATTCTTCAATTTCCTCATCTTTGCCTTTTGTGGTTGGGGCATAAATTTGAATAATAGTCATATTAATGGGTCTTCCTTGTAGGCGAATGGATATTATCCTATCACTGACAGCATTGTACTTCAGGACAGATCTTGAAACATCGTTTGTTATGATGAATGCCACACCATTCCTCTTCAAACTGTCATTCCTAGCACAGTAGATCACATGGTTATCTGATTCAAAATGGCCAAAACCAGTCCATTTGAGCTCACTAATGCTGAGGATATCAATCTTTATATGTTTCATTTCGTTTTTGACAACTTCCAATTTTCCTAGATTCATACTTCATATGTTCCATGTTCCAATGATTAATGGATGTCTGCAGCTGTTTCTTTTCAATTTGAGTGGTGCCACATCAGCAAATGGAGGTCTTGAAAGCTTTCTCTTATCCATATGAGTAAGGCTGGGTTTACTCAGATGTTTCAGCTCTTTCCCAGTCCTATTTTGAGAGCCTTCTAACTTAACTGGACTATTCATAAAGTTGCGCCGTGATGTATCAAACAGTGTTTCTTTGCTATTCATAAGGTTTTCCCCAGCCAATTCTTTGAGAAGTGGATGGCCTCTTCCTTCTTACTAGTTTGTCTCAGTCTCTAAGCTGGGCAAATACCTGTGCACCATGTGCATCCCACTGGGTTTGAAACATCAGTGGCTCAGCCTCAAAACTCACATCAACATGTCACCATGGTAGGACAAACCGACAGACAAGTTTGTCTCCCTGTTGGAAACCTCTTATACCACCCTTACCTGGGTCCTGTGGCTGACTCCTCCTCTCTCTGGGTTCCTGGGCCTTTTAATCCCATTTCTCCCGCTCTCCCGCCCTGCTGCTTTGGGCGTGCCTGAGTTCCCTCTCCTCACCTGGATCCCTATTGACATTTTGGTTTCTTTCCTTCTAGATCCTTTTTTAAATAATGTAGCTAATCAAACAGTATGTACAATTTTGAGTTCTATTTTTCTTGTACTGTCATATCAGAGATGTTTTCTCAAGTCACGAAAAACTCTTTGGAACATTAAGACCGATCTTTCTGAACTCAAATTTGATCATGTTGCTTCCCTGCTTAAAATTCTCACACAGCTCATCACTGACTGATGCTAGAAGGTAAAGTCTCTGCTGCTTCATGCCACTACACAGTTCCTTGTGATATGGCTCCTGCATTCTTCTCCAGGGTTAACTATTTCTACTCCTCACATCTTTCATCCCTAGCACCCACTCACATAACTCAGTCACTTGCCACCCCCTCACCTACCAAAATCAAAACTCATTGCTTTCTAGTCAACTCCAACTCATAGCAACCCTTTTGGACAGAGAAGAACTGCCTCATAGGGTTTCCAGTGCTTCTTTACAGAAGTAGACTGTCACATCTTTCTCCCTTGGAGTGATGAGCAGGTTTGAACTACCAACCTTTCAGTTAGCACATGAACCACTATGCTACTCAGACGCCCTCATATATGTTGTTGTTGTTGTTATGTGCCGTCGAGTCAGACCCGACTCATAGCAACCCCTCCTTGGTTTTCCGAGGCAGTATCACTATGGAAGTACATTTCTCCATCTTCCTTCCAAGGAGTCGCTGGACCGCCAGCCTTCTGGTTAGCAGTCAATTCCTTAGGTACTATGCCACCAGAGCTCCTGCATAAGTAGCTAGGTGCCCAGAAATCACTCTTGAGTTATTAGGAGGATTTATAACCAACCTCATAATTTGAAGCAGATTACCCAGCATACAGTTTAGACGAGCCCTTTATATCCCTCTTCTTCCTCTCTCACTGCCTCTGCTCTCTCTCTTCTACCCCAAAGCCCTGTGAAGATAATGCAAGCTTTTTTCCTCATATAAGAGATCTAGCAGGAGAAGATGGGGCTGATTTCCCTATGTGGCACTTTGGACTCCTCCAGTGTCCTTCATTCTCCACAACACTCAGAGCTAGATTGTCCACAGGGCAGCTGTGTAGGCAGAGATGTAGGCCTGTTTTCCTGGCCAAGCTGTCACCATTGAGCCAGGCGGCACAATGCTGAACAAAGCTGTGACAGACCATGAGGAAAGGGGCAGAGAAAGTGAAAGGCATGTAATCAGATCAATCTCCAGCTCGGTCCATCTGCCTGGGGAGTCTGTCTCTGGTGATTGCACCAAGAGACATGACATGTTGCTGGAAAGCCTGCCTGTCCAGTGGGTTGCCAATCCTTAGCACCAGACTCCCTCATTTCCTTAATAACAGGTTGCAGATCCTGTGGCTATAAATTTAGCTAAACCCTTCTTGACCTTTTTATATTTTTAGCCTATACTGCTTCTCTAGATAATAACTCCATGGTTGATTAGTTGTTTTGTAAAATACTTTTATGTCAAGTTAAAGGAAATGTTCTTTCTCTCTCTAGCTTGAAGACCCAGTCCTAGTAATTCTAGTTTCTAGTGTTGGTAACACATTTTTGTTTGGCCCTTGGCACATTTTGTGGATTTATGGATAGGGTGGGAAAGAATGAAGGTTGATATTTCTTCTCAGTTTTCAGTTTTTCAGATTCAAGTATTAATTTTCTCCATCTGTTATCATGTAATGGCTTATCGGGCACCTCATTTGTTTTCTGTTTCATTGTCTTGGCCCTTTCATACTTCTGAGGAGCTCTAGTGGTGTAGTGGGTAAAGCATTTACTCCAAAACATCAGAGGTTCAAACACACCAGCTGCTCCATAGGAGGAAGATGAGACAATGTACTTCCGTAAAGATTTACAGCCTTTGAAACCCAGTGGGGGGTTGCTGTGAGTCTGAATCAACTGGATGGCAGTGGGTTTGATTTGGTTTTTGTTTTTCCTACCTCTGTTCAGCTTGTGTTAAAATACAGTAGCTAGAAGAATTTGTGGCAGACATCTCAAGTGCAAATAGTTTAAGAATGAGTTGAACCCTTTTGTTCCTTATACACTCTTGGGTGGCATTTTTTTTTTAATCTTTGTAACTTTAATATTAGAGCTGATAACTTTGAAGTCTACTAAAGTAGCTGGTGTAGGAGGGCGTCCTGTAAGGGTATTTTGGATTGGTCTCCGTATTTGTCTTCTTGTCCCATAGTTGCCCTGCTTCACCTTGACCTCAGTTCTGACTATTTATCCACATTGCTTCTGCCAATTTGGATAATGAAATACTAAGTGTCACTATGTGGTCTCTTTCAAGGGCACTTGTAAAAATGTTAAGACTGACCCCACTTAGAGTATCCTTATTGCTGACAGCTCCATCCATGGGGGAAACAACTTAGCTTCACCATTGTAAGGCATTTTTATCTTGTCGAAGGTGTCTTGCAAATGTTGTCTCTGTCTCTTCCTTAAAAATCTGTTGAGGGATCTGATTTGAAAAGTGAGAGAAACTGAAACACAACAATTTTAGCCATTTTGCATAAGATCATTCTGATGTTGGAGTAAAACATAGGGTCTTTTGCCCTTAGCTCTTCCTGTAATACCATATCAAACCATTTAACTTGTTTTCTCAATCCTGCAGCACCTTAATGAAAAGAAAAAGATTAATAAATGAAACAAAGCCCTGAATAAATAACCTTAGCAAAGATGTTTTTAGAAAAGTATAAATCCATTTACTACTTCTTTCTACATCTCATTGAGCTCTTCAAAAGATTGTAGATAGTTTAACAAACCATGATTTTCTCATACTAGTTGTCCTTTGGCTACCCTCCTCTTATCAATTTGCATTTGATGGTCCTACAATTGATTTTCTACTCTGACAGTGTATTAGGTGTAGAATTGAAATGATTAGCTTTACCTCTATAGTTCTTTCCCAGAGATAAGTCACTTGGACTATGTTCATTTTATCTGGGAAATCTGCAGTACTTAGAGCCAAGGACATCCTGATGCTTGAAAAGACAGCAGCTCTGGGCCCCCTGCTGCAGGGAGATGGGAGTCCCGAGTCCTAGTATTTCATTGCAGTTCCCTGAGAGCTGTCTTGGCTACTGATGTTTCAAGCTGGCAGTGGCAAGGAGGGGAGGGGGACAAGAGGGCTCCCAAATAACTTTTCAGCGTACGCTTCTCTGAGACTGTTCATTCTCTTTGCAGAGTCTAGAAGAGGGCTCATACCGGGGGAGCTTGAAGGACCCCGCAGGCTGCCTGAATGAGGGGATGACCCCACCCACACCTCCCAGAAACCTGGAAGAAGAACAGAAAGCCAAGGCCCTGAGAGGCAGAATGTAAGTGGTTTCCCTAATCCCACCCTGGTCCCATTGGTGTGTGGTAGAAGGAGAAAAGCTGGGGATGTGTGGGGAGAATTGGAGAAAGATTCCCTACATGGTGTTTTCGTGGATGATAAGTAAAGGTGACCTAGATCTGTACAGTGTAGCATTGATAAACAATGGGCTACTTTGACATGACTTTAGAATTTTTCAGCTGAAGTATATTCTGTGAGGTAGCAGCTACTATTGACAAAGTACAGTTATAATCAAGATCTGTTAGAAAAGTAAACCAAGTTACTAAAAGGAAAATAAGAACGTTTGAGGATCTATGGGGCCTGTGATCATGGGTCTGTAGAATCAGGGAACCCTAGCCATGGCCAAAAGTCTGATGGGAGTCACCTGAGGAGAGACTGGCCCGATGGTAGGAGCATGATGTCTGAGAAAAGGGAGCTGAGCCCTTTGTGCCACCAGCACAGGTCCTATCTCTAGTTCTTCTCCAAAAGTTGTGATTTTGCATCTCAGTTTAGTTCCAAGAAAGCCTCCTCTCCATTTTTTCACTAATTGGTGATAAAATACAATTCACATTACTATCTATTTCACAAAACCCATATGTCATGCAAGGCTTGAATTATCTACCCCAATATGAAATTAATCTTATATTATTTGAGGTGATCAAGAAAATACAAGATACTGCTAATGCAAAGCCACAAGTCCCCTAAATTAAAGTTTTATTGTTTAGGGTTTGAGCCTGTTTTGGAAGCAGACTTACTAATGAGTTTGGCCCTAGCTCAGAAGGGCTATAAGCAATGGTGAAAGTTGTGTAGGCATGGCAGGAAGGGTCCCTCCTTCTTGCTAATTAGTCTGTCCTTCTGCCTGAAATTCGTCACTTTTAGACTGGTCAGAGATATGAAGTTGGCAAAAATAAATGAGACCAGGTCCTTCTGTTGCATGGAAATAGTCTAAGTGAACACTAATGACTTCATTTCCTAGGAAGCAAAAGTGGAAACATCATAGTTGGAGCCTGGCTCAGAGCAGGGCTCTCCCTTTATGGTGGCAGGTGAGCAAATAGCACATATGCTGTCTAGTTTCATATGTACCCCCTCTACTTTAAGGGTACTAAGGGGGAGTCCCAAGTAAGTTGTTGAATGGGATGCTGTGTGCTGTTGTGTTCATTATGATTCATACCTACCCTATAGGAGAGAGTAGAACAGCCCCAGGGTAGGATTGTTTCAAATGCTGTATTTATTGAAGCACGTTGCCACCTCTTTCTGGATATCAGCCAAGCACTTTAACCACTGCACCACCAGTGCTCCTTGATGAAGAGAGTAGAGGTAGGGAAATGCCATCCCCAAAGAGAAATTTCCTGGGACTTGCCCAACACTGGTTTTCCTTAGTATCTCAGGTTGTTACAGAGGTGAGGCAGAGTTGGAGCTGGAATTCTGGTCTCCTGTCAAGCCAAAGCAAAGCTTACATGAGGGAGGTGAAAGGCACTGACCTTTGAGGTAGCAGATAGACCCTGGCAAAACCTGTCTCTAGTCTTGTCCCTTAGGTTAAGCAGGCCTAAGGGCTGTCATTTATATGATTGTTCTGCTTCCAGACATGATACTATTGCATTTTGCTACAACAGGCAAAACTTTGCTGCCCCTTTTACCCATTTACCTCTCTCTCTCCCTTCCTCTCACTCTCTTGCCTAACTCAATATTCCTCCACATCCCAAGCTATCCTGAAAATCTTTCAGTTAGAATATCTTATTCCTCTGACTGTCAATCATCCTTATTCTATCCGCTGTAATTCATGGCTGCAATAAAAGAGGGGATGCATAGATGTGTAGATTAATCCTATGTAAGGCTTTGTGGCCAAGGGATATAGGAAATCAAGACTTAGTCCAGAAAACAACAGTGAGACGTAACAGGATAAAATGATATCTCTATGGAGAAAATATGAAAACAAATAGTTATTTGTCCAGGAGGATAAAAAGATGAACATGAGTTTATTTTTCTTCAAGTTTTAGTCATTCATTCACTCAACAAACATTTATTGAGCACCTATTATGTACCAGGTGTTTGGAATACATCAGTGAAGAAAATGAACAGTAATAACAACAGAAAAGTCCTTGTCTCATGGAGTTTACGTTCTAGTAGAAAAACAAGAAAATAAAATTAATTATATGGTATTTTAGAAGCTGGAAAAAGAAAAAAAGAGAGCAAAGTAAGGAGCCTTAGGTGGATAGATGAGCCATGTTACAGTTTTAAATGCATGCAATGTTTTTTTATTATTATTATTTTATTGTGATTTGGGTGAAAGTTTACAGAGCAAATTCATCTTCCATATAGCAGCTTCCATACACTTTGTCTCATGATATTGACTGTAATCTCCAACAATGCAACAGCTCTCCTCCCACTTCCTCCCCATAGCCACCTCTTCTGTGTGTCCTTCCCTCCCATGCACTCCTGCTCCCCAAGCTGTGCATACACAGCCCTTCTATTCTCCCATTATTGATCTCTCCATTACATTAGGAGTGTGTCTACTAATGTAAATGTTCAGCTCATATGCCTGTCTTTTGTTTAGCTGGAAGCCACAGGAGTGGGTTCAATTCTAGACTTGAACGGTAGCTAGGGGCCATAGTCTCAGGTGTTCCACTAGCCTCTATCAGACCAGCAACCTGGTCCCCTTTTTTTTTTTTTTCTTTAATGATTTTGAGTTTTTTCCACATTGTTCTCCCACAGTATCCAGGATCTCCTACATAGATACCCCTGTGAATGGTTGACAGTGGTAGCCAGGTACCATCTAGTTCTTCTGGTCTCGTAGTCAGATAGGCTGAGGATCTCATAGTGTGCCAGTGCCTTGGACTAATTGTTTCCATACATCTTTGGTTTTCTTCATTCTTCTTTGTTCTGGGTGAGGAGAGACCCATCATTGTATCTAGATGGCTGCTTGCAAGCTTTTAAAATCCCAGTTGCTATTCCCCAAAGTAGGATGTGGAACAATGTTTTTGTGTAGTATATTATGCCAGTTGAGCTTGATGTCCCCTTGCATGCAACATTTTTAAATGCAGACCAGATGGAGATGGGGAATTAGCCTTTAGCCATAGGGGAAAATAGCTTGACAGAGGGAACAGACAGTGCAAAAGCCCTGAGTGGTTATCTGTGGGAAACCAGCCATTCCCTACCACTATGGAAGCTAGAGGTTAGAAGTGGGTCTAAACTGTAAGTGGTGGAATTTTGGTTGGACCAAAGAATATCATTTACTTTGTAAACAACTTTTAATAAGAACTAGTCATGAAAAAATAACTTTATTAACAATTCCATTTATTTGGCCATTAATCATGCACTGCCTTGTGATGCATATCATTTAAATCTTTTATGTAACTTTTCAGGTCATTTAATGTATCATTATCTCCTTAATGTATTTCATCAGCCCTTCAAGGGAAGAGATGCTAGGTCCACTAGCAGCACCTAGTATAGTCGCCTTCTCTAGAAGCTGAAAAGCCTAAGGCAGCCCTCAATCTGTCAGCAGATAGCTTAGGATAAAAATACCGCCTACAGACACACAGCTGGACTTCATCTCCAAGGTCCTTCCACCCCGCAGTTCCCACTCCAACTTTCCTGTGGGTTTTCTCTTACTACTTTCTCCCCAAGCAGTAAGTAGAGCCATGCTAAAGATATATTTAAATGCTTTCATTTGGCCTTGCTGGTTCCTTCCTGTGGCCTAAAACACATGATTGTCTGTATGAGGGCGAGGGAGCAGGTTGGAAGTGCTGGACATGCTGATAAAGAAGCATGTGTTCCTTTGCTCCCTCCCCACTGCCCTGAGGCCCCAGACCCAGGGATCTGGTGGCTTCTCTGTGTAGTAAAGAATAAGAATTTCAGATGAATTGCTTCCTGGGTTCAGAATGATTACAACCCTTGTGCTGGGGCCCTGCTTAGATATCTCAAAATTTTATTCCTTCTGTCATTGGGCCAGAAATGCACTGTGTGGCTTCAGGCAAGCCACTTTCAAACTTAGGTAATAAGGGTCAGGCTCTAGTAGGCACATAGCACCTACCCTGCCCCCATGTACAACTGGAATGCTTTCACTCTCTATACAGAAGAAATAAAGAGGATTGTTTGGTTTGAGGCCTCAGGGACTTCAGAAAGCCAGTCTGAGTGGTTTCCCAGGAGTAGGCTACATTGAAAGAGTGTTTGGAGTCTTACACAACTGTGTTCAAATCCCAGCTCTGCTACTCCCTTTGCAATCTTGGGCAAGTTACCTGAACTTTCTGTCTCAGTATTTTCACCTATATACAATGTTGTTGTTTTTGTTGTTATGTGCCATTGAGTCAGACCCGACTCATACTGACCCTTCCTTGGGTTTCCGAGGCAGTATCACTACGGAAGTAGATTGCTTCATCTTCCTTCCGAGGAGTGGCTGGTGGGTTTGAACCACCAGCCTTCTGGTTAGCAGTCAAGTGCCTTAGGCACTATGCTACCAGAGCTCCCCCTATGTACAATAGAGCTTAAATACTTACCTTGTTATAAGCATGAGAAAATCCAGATGAAGAAACTGGCACACAATAAATGCTCTAAGAAATACTTAACAAGGAAGAAACAGAAAGCATATATCCTTGTAGTTGTTAAATCCTGGTATACTCCAAACTATGATCACAGATGTCTGCAGTAAATCTTTGTGGCCCTGACTGGGGATTTTCCAGGCCAGTCACCATGGATACCTATCTGAATAATTGTAGCTTCTGTATTTTCAAAGCTGCATTTGATATTGGTGCTTCTGAAGCCTTAAAAGTTCATTACCAAACAGATGTCCTTCTCTTCTTATTAATGAAAGAATGGAGCTGGAATGAAGGAAAAGTCTTTTGTTGATGCGTTGGCCTTGAAGCTTTCATAACTCAGTTTTGCCAAAGTGTTTGTCATTCTTTCTGCCCTGTGTATAGATAATTTTTCAGTAACAGGAGAAAAGAAAAAAGCATAAAGAATAGAAAGAAGAATTCTGGGCTGTGAGCTTCATTCTGTGCTTACTAACCTTGGGGTGTAACCTGGGGAAAAGCCCTCTCTTGGTACCCTCAGCTCTCGTAGGAAGAGCACCAATAAGCAGGTGCTAAGGATGGGTGCTAAGTCTGAGTCTTCTGGGTTCTCTTGTCATAAAGGTACCAAAGTACCTTTCCTGTGGACTTAAATGTGGAGATTCATTGCTGAACAAAGAAGAGGACCCCAAATGTCCATACCTGATGAATGGATAAACAAAATGTGGTATATAATATAGCCATAAAAAAGGAATGAAGTGCTGACAAGCTACAATGTGGATGAACCTTGAAAGCATTATGCTAAGTGAAAGAAGACAGCCACAGAAGGCCACATGTTATATGATTGCATTTATGTGAAATTCCAGAATAGGCAAATTCAAAAAGACAAAAAATAGACTAGTGGCTACTAGGGCTAAGGGAGAATTGGGGGACAGTAGCTAGAGGATGCAAGGTTTCTTTTTGTGGTGATGAAAATGTTCCATAATTATCTGTGGTGCTGGTTGCACATACCTGTGACTACACTAAAAGGTATTGAATTGTACATTTTAAATAGGTGAATTGTATGGCATATGAATTATATCTCAATGAAACTATTGCCAAAAAAATATGAAGAGGAACCCTCACTGTTCTTAATTTCATGCTCAGGTTTGTCCTGAATGAGCTGGTACAGACGGAAAAAGATTATGTCAAGGATTTGGGGATTGTGGTGGAGGTGAGTAGGTGGTTCGGGTTGGATCTGTAATCCCCCAGCCAGAAGCATCTTAGACTCTGCTTGGGCTGACTATGTTTTACACTGTCCAGGTATTTGCAGAAATGAAAATAAGAATTATAATAGACTCAAATGGAGTATATAAATTAAAAATTTTATTCCTTTTGAAATAATATGTTTAGAGGGAAGTGGGAACCCAAATGTGGCAGGACTTTGGGAAGCTTCTTGGTTAGAGCTGAGTCCACTTCACCTTGTAGGAAGTGACCAAGTGATTGTCTCGTGAGCTTTTCTTTGTGGATATATATTCTTCAGAACTATGGGCACTAAGCTGATCACTCTGATTGAAACTTTGGAGTCTGTGCATTTCCTTAGCTTTTAAGAAGAGCATTATAGCAACCAAAAGGACACACAAAGAAAAACCCCTGATAAGACAAGATGGGCACAGTCCACAGTTACCAGTGAACTTTGTAGTAAATAAAACAGAGATCTCTCTCCACAGGAGTTCACTTTAGGGGACTTAAACACTTAGATGAGAAAGTCTAAGAACTTAGTGGATAATTGAGACAGCTTAGAGCCCTGTTGTTAATCATCATCTTAAGTGAAAGAATATGAAGTCTAAAAATTGAATGCTTAATGTCTAAATCACCTGCTGGATCCTTAGATTTGGCCTATAGGGCCCATCTTATGAAATCTGCTGACTTAGGTTTTATATTTTCTTGCCTTCAACAGTGGCTAAACAGATTAACCTGGCACATAACCAAAAAAAAAACAAACTTGCTGCTGTCAAATCGGTTCAACTTATAGTGACCCCTCCTTAAGTTTCCAACATAGTATCTCTATGAAAGTAGATTGCCCAATCTTCCTTCTGAGGAGTAGCTGGTGGGTTTGAACTGCCAGCCCTCTGGTTAGCAGTCAAATGCCAGAGCTCCTACTTGGCACATACCTACCTACCTACCCACTGCCATCAAGTCGGACCCAACTCATAGCAACCCATCCTTGAGTTTCCAAGGCAGTATCACTACGGAAATAGATTGTCCAACCTTCCTTCCGAGAAATGGCTGGTAGGTTTGAACCACCAGCCTTCTGGTTAACAGTCTAGTTAGCAGTACACCATCAGAGCTCCTAATTGGCACATAGAGGGCCTAAATTCTTACTTGTAGAAAGTTTTTCTCTTCTTCCAGTGAGGGGCAGGTGAGGTAGAAGGTGCAGCAGTCTATAGACAGCCCAGTCTAGGAGGGCTTGGGAATCTAAGGACAAAGAGACTGATCTAGAGAAGTCAGACATTTTAGTGGTGTGATTATAAGACAAGTCATATAAGTATTCTGTGCCTTAGCTTTCTCATCTGATGGGCATAGACCTCAAAATGTGATTTTAACACTGAATTGTGATTATGTTTGATAGCAAAGAGGTCCCTGGGTAGTGTAAATGGTTAATACACTCAACTGCTAATCGAAACGTTGGCAGCCTGAGTCCCCTGAGAGGCACTTCACAGGAAAGGCTAGGTGATCTGTTTTTGAAAAATCAGCCATTGAAACCCCAGTGAAGCCCAGCTCTGCTCTGACACACCTGGGATCACCACGAGTCAGAGTCAATGGCAACTAGTTAAAGTATTAATACATAAGACTTACTTCTAGGCCAGCTGTGTCTATTTCTGAGCCTTTAAAGATAAGATTAACCTCATTTGGGAGAAAGGAGTGGGACAAATGACCATGTTCTTCTTTGTTGTGCATTCTTAAGGGGGCCAGAGACAAAGAAGGGGACCCAGAACTTCATAAAATTTTTGTCTATCACTCTGCAGTGGGCAACACCCTAATTTAACAATGAGAAACTGCTGAAGTGTTTGCCCTCAAAGTTACCCAGAGAGTGTAAGCTGTGGTTTGGGGCTCGGCCCAGAAAACTTTCTTGTGAAAACACCATCTTAACCTTGGCCTGTCCTGCTACAGGGCTTCATGAAGAGAATGGAAGAAAAAGGTGCCCCTGAAGACATGCGAGGAAAAGATAAAATCGTGTTCGGAAATATTCATCAGATTTATGACTGGCATAAAGAGTAAGTATGCCGGCTGCCTGAGCAGCTGGGTGTCCTGCGAGTCCAAGACTCTTACATTCTCTGCTTGGGTCTGACCAAGGGAGCAGGGTTTAGGGCAGAGTCTCCTGTCATCTCTCTCAACATTGAGCAATAATACAGCTCTGAGTGATGTGGCTTCTTTCTCTCATCCCCTCCCTCCTTTTAGTTTTTTCTTGGCAGAACTGGAAAAATGTATCCAGGAGCAAGACAGATTGGCACAGCTCTTTATTAAACATGTGAGTACTTGCCTTTGCCTTCCCCCCGACCCCTCTCACAGGCTTAATTATTTTCATTTTTAAATTCTCTCTCTCTTCTGCTGTTCCTTGACTTTCCATCCTACTGGTCCCTCTCTGAGGTTTTGTTTTTTTAAATCTGTTGACAATTTGGAAGGTAACTTTTCCCCTACTCTATTTACTTATATATCTTTGAAATAGTAACTGTGTTTGTGTGCCCACAAAACCCAAAAACAAACCCATTGCTGTTGAGTTGATTCTAACTCACGATGGCCCAATGCATTGCAGAGTAGAATTGAACCATAGGATTTTCTTGGCTGTAATCTTCATGGAAACAGGTCACCAGGTCTTTCTTCCATGGCACCAGTGGGTAGGTTCAAGTGACCTTCCTTTAGGTTAGTGCAGAGCACAAACCATTTGTGAATGTGGACCATATCTGTGTCCTGTCCATGTGTGGACCAGCATAGCCTCTAAGTGTAAGGCACAAGGATACCTGGCCACCAGAACATCTGTTCTTGTGCCCTTTCAGGAGAGGAAGCTGCACATCTACGTGTGGTACTGTCAGAACAAGCCACGCTCAGAGTACATCGTTGCTGAGTACGACGCCTACTTTGAAGTAAGTTTCTTAGTCCTTGCTCAAGCCAGGGTCAGGGTAGGAAACTCAGGCCAAGACACCAGTATTCAGAAATAGTGTATCACCCATTATCCATCCACAGATGACCCCACACAGCATGGTTGACCCCTTCACTACAGCAATAGCTGCCTTAACAGAGTGGTTAGCTTCTTAGCCAAATTCTTACGAGCACTTTTGCTTGGGAGGAGCTGAGGTGGCCCAGTCTGGGGACTGTTTTTAGAAACCTCCACTTGCATAATGGTTCTGTAACACAGGGACTGTTTTAGAAACTCTGGTCCTTCTTAAGTGGCCCCAGAACAGATTCGATTCACACTTTCTCACCAGCACTCTTGAGTGTGCTTGCTGAAGACCCTCCTCTTTGTGGAGATGTTCGCAGTCACCTCAATAGGCTTTGTTCCTGTTTCTGTATGTTCTGTCAAGCACCTCAAGGTGTTTGCTTTACTACAGCCTGGAAATATTTATTTTACTGTTGTTGTTATTATTGTTATGTGCCATGGAGTTGGACCCAACTCATAGCAACCCCTCCTTGGGTTTCTGAGGTGGTATCACTACGGAAGTAGATTGCCCAACCTTCCTTCTGAGGAGTGGCTGGTGGGTTTGAACCACCAGCCTTCTGGTTAGCAGTCAAGTGCCTTAGGAGCTATGCTGCCAGAGCTCCTATTAGTAGAGAGGAAACACCATCACTTGGAAAGAGCCCTCAACTGAGTGTTTGGAGATCTGTGGGCTTCTTGTGTCCTCAGGAAAGCCCTTCACTCTGGAGCTCTCCCTGGGGTGGTAGGGAGAATGTAATTCCATTCTGTCTTGTGTCCCAGGGCTGAGGTGGGGACATGAGGTGTGAAAATGCATGACATAAAAGTACTGTAGGAAGGCAAGAAGGTGGCAGTAGTGGTGTTACATGTTGTTAGTAACAGATTAGCAACTATGTAGCCAATTCTACTTCTTGTGGTTTGAAGATTCTAAATCTTTCTTGGAAAACATGAAGACCTGTCTTCCTTGTCTTTGAAGTACCCCAATTATTTTGTTTCTTCCTTTCTAATGTAGCTCCCTTGTATTTCAGGAGGTAAAACAGGAGATAAATCAAAGGCTGACACTTAGTGATTTCCTTATCAAGCCCATTCAGAGAATAACAAAATACCAGTTGCTCCTCAAGGTAAGAGAACTGTGACCATGGGTCAGAGCTGGAGAAGGGCTTCTCAGGCTCTGAGTTAGTGAGCTTTACAGCCTGTCTCCACCACGCTTTCCAAATTGGTCAGAAGCACATGTGGGCTTTTATCTTGTCTATAGGTTATTTGTGCCAGCATTGCCCCAAAATAAATTGCATGGCTGTTCTTTTTGCAGTTGGCTGTTACTTGATATCCTCTTTTCAGTTCACTTTCTTCCTTTGACACAATTGCTGACTTTGTACTCCTCAAAACAATATAAAAATACATAATAAGAGCTTAAAATCAGAGTGGGATGGGAAGGAGGAAGAAATGGAAAGACCAGGCCAAAGAAACTTTGTGTAATACTTGATGAATGTTGTTGTTGTTGTTATGTGCCATTGAGTCAGACCCAACTCATAGCGACCCCTTCTTGGGCCAAGGTGGTATCACTACGGAAGTGGATTGCCCAACCTTCCTTCTGAGGAGTGGCTTGTGGGTTTGAACTGCCAGCCTTCTGGTTAGCAGTCAAGTGCCTTAAGCTTGATGCTACCAGAGCTGCTAGTCACTTAAAATTTTTTATATTTTATTTTTAAATGTTTAACTTGATTTGTCTTACAGAAATATGAGGTAAATGGAAAAGAGATATTTAACTTGCGTTTCTCCCATTTTTCTTCTCATCGTTCCCCTTTTCTCCCTACCCACACACTTATACACTCTCTCTGTCTGTCTCTCTTCTCCCTCCTCCTCCTCCTTCTTCTCTCCCTATTTCCTTCTATGTATCTGTCTCTCCTCCCATAGCTTAGAATATTTCTAGAGTTTTATCTGCATTATTATGTCTCACGTGACTCATGATTTCATTACTCAGCTACTACATACAAACCAATGGCCATCTCTGCTTGGAATAAAGGTCTTCTGGGTATTATTGTATTTTTATGATGCTAAGTTTTTTATAGCCCTCTGACTGTTTCACCAACTCATTTTGCTCTTCCCTACACTCTTCCCTGCTTCCTCTACTTGCTAGGACTTCCTGAGATACAGTGAGAAGGCTGGTTTGGAGTGTTCAGATATCGAGGTGAGTTTTCTGCTGGTAATGCTTGCTGTTCTTAGGGACAAGGTTGGCTGTCTGTGGCTAAAGGGAAACGATTGTCCAAGGAAGCCCAAGCAGGCAAGCTGACTCCTCTCAGACGGGGCCAACAAGCAGCTACTCAACAGGATGAGGAATAACGAATATGAATGAACATGTTGACTTCTTTTTAGACCTCGAGAATTCTGTCCTGGGCCAGACCACAGCTCAGCTTCCACTGGTGCTCCCCTTGGGGTTTCCAGGGACATGAAGTGGGAGAGTGTGCTATTTGACCCCTTTCACATCTATCAGAAATTGGGTACTATAATATGCAGTTTTATTCACAAATCCACATACTATTTGAATCTAACATATAAAATATCTGCTTTCATTGCTGGCCCCTCCTCCCACCAAGGATTGCCCCATAAGTGAGGTCCTTTGAGACAATGACAGTGTGGAGATTATTTTAGTTAGACCAGAGAGGTTATAAACTATTCTAACAGGTTATCTTAGGTTATAAAACACTAGTGTTTAACAACCCAGGCTAAGCTGTTGCTTAAGCAGCCAGGAAACAACAAAGAGAAGAAGGATAATATCAGAAGGAAAGGGAACTCATAAACAAAAAGTGAAATGACCCAAGCACTGGGCTAGGTAGCATCCCCCACAAGTGGTCACTGATTCACGTGGAGCTTCTGTGCTTAAGACCAACATGCCTCGACTAAGATAGAAAACCCTATGCTCCTGTGAGTAGACAGACAGCAGGGACCAGAATAAGGTCCACCTTTCTAGAATAAAGGAGCTCTGGTAATGCAGTGGTTAAAGTACTTGGCTGCTACCAGAAGGTCAGTGGCTCTAACCTACTAGCTGCTCCATGGGAGAAAGATGAGGCAGTCTGCTTCCATAAAGATTCACAGCCTTATAAACTCTCTGAGCAGTTCTACTCTGTCCTATAGTGTCACTATAAATCGGAATTGACAGCAGTGGGTTTGGGGTGAGTTCTAGAATAAGGAGCTACAAGGAGGCAAGGCCCTTGTCTCCCAGCACAGAAATGCTGCAAGCTCCTTGCCTGAGTGCTGTTCCCCTTCTGAGCCACTGTTGTTCTTTCTCACAGAAAGCCGTGGAGTTAATGTGCCTTGTTCCAAAACGCTGCAATGACATGATGAATCTGGGACGCCTACAGGGCTTTGAGGTGAGCCCTTAAGGATGCTTCTAAGTCCTTTCCCTGTGAGTAGTAGGAGTCCAGGCCTTTGAGGCCTCCTCTCTTTGAAGGCTCTGTGCTCTGCCTCCTCTTGCTCTTTCACTAGCCATCTATGCCCTGGTGCCCCAGGCCCTCTGGCTCAAGGCTAGAGAATGCATCTGTTTAGGAAGTCCAGTGATAGGGCCATCATGGATGGTATAGAGTGGTCAACCAAGGGGGTAGGAAAGACCCAAAATTCTTTGCAACTGTTTGGACCTGGCAAGAACCTCTTCCCTATTCTTTCTTATTTAAGAAATGGTGTGTGTGAAGAAGAGCAGGACTATGTGATAGAAGTAGAATGTTCAAGGGAAAAAA